GCGATAGGGTGCCCAGCCTCCAGGTGGGGCCTGGAGATCTCCCGCTGGCAGCGGGGGGGGGAAGGCTCCCTCGCGCGCGCCCGGACGGGGCCTCCCCTCCAGCCGAGTCTCCCGTGTGTCTCCCTGGAGGGCCCGGGGCGCTCCGACGCACGCTCCGCTCAGAGGAAGCAGCCGCTGAAACGGCGCCCCCCTCCCGCCCCACCGAAGCCGCCGCCCACCTAAGAGGCGCCTCCGCGCAACCTCAACCCGGCCGGGCAGCGCCACGGAGAGGCCAGCGACGAGCGCAGGCCGGGAGAGCGCGCTTGGCTTGGCGGCCAGAAGGCGCCGGGCGGGGCCCCCGCAAGCTCGCGGACGGCGGTAGGCCGGGGGGGGGGACCGCCCAGCAGGGACCCGCCAGACCCAGCCAGCCAGCCAGCCCGCCCTCCTCCCCGCCGAGCCCCGGGACGCGCCCTTCCCCCTCCGACCAGGCGGGGGAGCCCACGAGCCGCCCCGGCGCAGCCAGGCCACATGGCCGCGGACTCCGCCCCCCCCGCCGGACCCGGAAGGCGCCCCCCGCTCCCGCCCCTCCCCCGCCGCCAGGGGGCGCGCTGGGCGACTGAGGCAGAGGCGAGGCAGGCGGTAGAAAAGCACGTCGGTTTTATTGGAACCATTTTCTTTACAGAAGGAAACGAATCAACCAAAAACCAAGCCCCCCCCCCCGGAATGAGAGCCAGGGCAGGGAGGAAGGAAGGGAGGGAGGGCAGCTGGTGGGCTCTCTGCTGCCCCCTCCCCTCCCGAGGAGGGGGGGTGGAGACACACTATGGGAAACCCCACACAGGTGGTCCCAGAGGGTGGGGGCACCCTCCTCCCACACCCAAATACTTTTCAGGGAACCCAGGATTTTACATTCAAGGTCCATGTGCTCTCCTGTCACAGTAGAACGCGCCACGCACTGGCCGGCACTGAGGTATGCAGACAACAAAGGCCCCACTTCCCGTATGGCCCGCGACGCCATGCCCAGGTCCCCCGTCCCCCCGGGCTTAGACAGTGCTCTTTGCAGCCACCAACAGCATGAACCGTCTCAAACAATGGCAGGAGAAAGGCGCCGTGCACAGCTGTCCCCACAGAACTGAAGGGGATGGGTTGGCTCCTACTGTGTCCCAGCCGGGCTAACGCCTGCCCGCCTCCAGCACCTCCACATCCACCCCAAGCACCCAGGCAACAGAAGGCCAAACACTGCAGCATGAGACGAAGGCGTCTTACAAGTGATGTGGCAAAAGTATCAGAGCTGCTCAACGGGCTGAGGAGGGGCTGAGGAAGGACTCCGGGCCTGATCCAAGGCAGGCAGAAAGCGGTGGCTGAGGCTGTGCACCTGCCCAAACCAGCAGGGTCCAATTTGTGTTTTGCCTCCAGTTAAATCCTTGGGCAGACCGCCTGTTGTCTCTGCTGCTGGAAAGCGGAGCCTCAAGGCCCTCTTCGGCCAGATGCAGATCACCCACTCTTGATCTGCTCACGAGCTGAAGGGGTGTCCGGGAAGGCTAAGCCATTCAGCAGAAGGGGCACATACATGCACAGGAGAGGGCAGACTTTGTCAGGAAAACCTCGTCGGGGTGCCCAGGTTCTCATGGTACATGAGCAAACCCTGGCGCTGCCTTCCCACAGTAACAAGGAATGCTAGCGGAAGTTCACTGCCAAGAGCGCCGGCTGTGCTGGAGAGCAAAACAAGAGACAGCACTCAAGGACAGCGTGTGACTCAATCCCACTGAAGCAGAGGGCAGATACAGCAAGGCCTGCTTGTGTTACCACAGAAGAAATGGAAAGGGCCTCACCAGCTCCTCCAAAGTAACCAAACTTTGCCAGGACAAGTGGACAAAAAGAGGAAGGCTGCGGCAGAGCGAACACTTGCCAGGCTCCTGGGCAGGCACTTTAGGGCCTTCGTTTCGTAGCGTGACTGTCAGTTTCAAGGAGCCACTTCCGTCAGGTGCCACTGCTCTTTCATTAGTTTTATGTTGTACGGAGAAATGGCATCAACTTCCCTACCCTAAGATAAAGCTACAGCTGGAGGTTTCAAGTTGTTTCCATTTAAAAGGAGCTAACACACACTATTCCTTGCAGGATGAGGCCTGGCACAGAGTACTAGTACCTAAAACAGTTTGACGGGCAGCAAGTGGTGCGAGTGCTGCAGGAGTGCTGCAGAACACAGCCGGGGAGTGGGGGTGGCCAGCAGGGAACTCAGTGTCATCCCTAATACAGGAAACAGAGACAAGACAACAGACACCAAAAATAGCAACCAGGAAATCCCCAACAGCAGGTGGGGGAAAGACATACAGCTCTATTGCATTCTGCTTTCAGCCTGCCATTATCCACCAACCAGGTCCCTTAAGAAAACAACGGAGTTAACTGCAAATAAATAGACATCGACAAACGGGATTTCAGAACTGTTATAATTCATCGTTTGTTCTGGTGTCTTCTCTTGCTTCTGAATTCTTTTCTGTTTGTTGGTCTGTAATAGAAGAGAAGCAAATGAATCTCCAATGCATGCGGCAAGGGGCTCAAACCAGAATGCCCCGAAAAGAACATTTACCGCTACAAGAGGGCAGTGAATTGTCACGGCACACAGAAAAGACCACAGGCATGCACACACTTCCTTTCACTTGAACAGTGTAACAAGGCCATGGGAGAAACAGATGGGGCATCCACAGAGGAAAACCTGCCCCAGTTGTTATTTATACCTAGCCTGGTTGAACAACAACCATACTGTAGAGAAAGTACTTTTCTCCCTTTCTCACAATACAAGAACTCGTAGGCACGCCGTGAAATGGCTGAGCAGTCGGGTTAGGACAGATAAAAGGAAGTGCTTCTTCACCCAAAGAGTGATGAACACGTGGAATTCACTGCCACAGGAGGTGCTGGCAGCTACAAGTATGGACGGCTTCAAGAGGGAATTGGATAAACATATGTAGCAGAGGTCCATCAGTGGCTGTTAGCCACAAAGTATAGATATAGGAACTCTGGAGCAAGTGATGTTCTGTCTTCTTGGTGCCTGGGGGGGGGTGTGCAACAGTGTGAGGGCTCCTAGTGTCCTGGCCCCACTGGTGGACCTCCTGGTGGCACCTGGTATTTTTGGCCATTGTGTGACAGAGTGTTGGACTGGATGGGCCACTGGCCTAATCCAACACTGGCTTCTCTTTTATGTTAACAACAGGCTCTGACAACCCCATGACATTGTAGGGATGAGTAGGAAGGAAGGAAGGAAGCAAATTCTGTTTAATGGCAGCCCAGGACAGCAGCTGGGGAGGGCTGGGCAGGGGTAAAACAAATGGCAGAAACGCAACTCGTTTTGAGACACATCTGCTGCCTTACGTTGTTCCATGCTGTGGAGGCCACGGCTCCTGCACATGGAGGCAAGAGGAAGGCCATTCCACAGCCTGTCAGTTCCACCCCACTCCCAGGGCAGTCCACTGACCTGTGCTTGGTCTTGATTCGTCATCCAATACGGAGCTCTCCAGTGTGGGGGGCTCCTTGACAGGGCTGGCATCACCTGGTTTCTCTGTCCCAAGCAAAAGGGAAAAAAGACACAGACTGAATCAAGCTGCATCCAACTGGAGAGTTGTTGGGATACATGTAGTGACACCACCACCCCGCACCCTATTTTCATCATATAGAATGCAACAGCTGGGGGGGGGGGGCTCGTCTGAAGACTGCCCACTGTGGTGTTCAAATATCCAGGAGCCTTAAACATCTGACCCCCCCCCCTTGCTCACCTTCTTGCTTCTCCTCCTCTTGCTTCTCATCCTCAGGAGGCACGGTGGCATTCTTGCCCGCTTCTGTTTTCGTGGCGTTCTCCTTCTTCTTGGGCTTGGCAAACTTGGCCTTGTTGAGGAGGTACTGGACTTCCCTGTCCAGGGCGGCAATCTTCAGGTCGATGTCTTTGGAGAGCAAGATGGGCTTCTCCGTGGGGGGCAACTTGCTCTGCTCTGCCAGGGTCTCCTTTTTCCACAGCTGAAAGGACAAACCCACCCTGAGCCGTCCTTCACCAGGCAAGACCTGTCGCTTTCAGTGCTGCCCTCTGCTAGATGCCGACCCACCTGCTGGCCCCGCAGCAACCAGCGGGGGCCTTTCCTGGCCTCAGGCAAGACCCAACCTTCCCCTCTCCATGGGGGGAGCGAGGGGGAGAAGAGGAAGAGAATGAGGGGCCCAAGGCGGGCACTGCTGTCCCCCTCTTTGCTGTGGCCCTTCCTCCATACTTGGATCACATGTGAACTCAATTCTGCCATCAACGGGGAGGACCAAAGGGTGCTGTGAGGAATTAATTACCATATGGCAGTGTGTGTGGTATAGCCAGGAAATCCTAAGACTGTCTGGCAGCCAAAACTTCTAGCTCCTTTAGCATTTTGCACTGTTAGGTGGTGGTGACAGCAGGACTTGTGTATAGAAATTTTGCTTTCTGCTTTCTATAATCCATGCCTTCTTCTGTGATTACATTCTGATAACATGCTGTGCCTTGTTTCCTCTTGCTAGCCACATGGTAAGGCCAAATGGCCTGGATAGCCATGCCATAAACCCACATTCTTTCACACTTCCATGCCAAATGCCAGACCTCATGGCTACACTTTCTGGCCCCACATGCGACAAGTCACGTACTAAATGAAGTACCTGGGAAGTAGGTCAATTGCTTGCAGGCGTGGCCTCCAAACTTCTAGCCATTCCTGTGTTGCAGCTATGGGAACCAACAACTGGACACACCTATGTCCACTCGTGATTGGCCGAATGGCCACGGCTAATCATGACTGGAATTGGGCTATAATTGTTCAGTCCCAATGAGAGAGAGTCTCTTGCGCTTGCTCTCTGCTCCTGCTCTGTCTGCTTGTTTTATTGCACCTGAAATGCAGCCTTGAGGGACAAAGGACTGGCTTTGTGAATTGGACCACATGGTTGAGCAAAGATGGATTTTTCCTTCAAAATCCCTTGGACTGTTTGGATATTCCTGAACTTGGTAAATATGTATCTTTTACTGTATAGTTAAGGCAAATCGACTTAGGCTTGTTATTTTGGTAAGCTCTGGTAGTCTGTGTTAAGCTCTGTACTGAATAAAACATTCTTGTTTCTAAATGGTCTCTGATGTTGTACCTGAGTTCCAAGTCTAAACTCCTGTGCCTAAGCTGACCACAAGCTACCATTAAACGTAAAGTGTGCAGCTCTGAGTTGCTAATGTGTTAAATTCCAGATACCAACTGAGAGTTTGAACCTCTATTCTCAGGTTGGGAACCTCTATTCTCTGGTGGCATATTGTTCTGAAAACCTGAGAGGGTATAGCCTACCTCTGGGTTTGTTGTTTAATGTACTGTAAAAGTACAGGATTACCTCTCACCCCTGGACTGGCTTGAGGGGCTTAAACCTGTACAGGGTGGCAGCGGTGTCTCCTGTACATGGTAATCCTGTACATGGTGGCAACGGTGTCTCCTGTACAACTTTCTTAAGGCAAGAGACATTTCAGAGGTGGTTGGCCACTGCCTGCATATGCATCCTGGCCCTGGTATTCCTTGGAGTTCACCCTTCCAAATACTAGCCAGAGCTGACCCTGCTTAGCTTCTGCGATCTGATGGGATCGGTCCGGCTTGGGCTGCCCAGGGTTGGGGCCACTGTGAGGAGAAGCACAACCCTAAAGGCCGCCTGGGACAGAAGAGATCTCCTCACGAGCCCCTCTTCTTACCGCTGTCGCATTTATTGCTGTTTCCAGGGTACTCAGCTCCACCTCTGTGAATATCTGATCAGCCTCCGGGATCATTCGTGCTCCCCTGAAAAGCAAACAAGAACCTGGCTCGTTTCCTGGCCACAACCCTGCACTCACTCTCACCCCGGAGGGCAAGTCACACGTTCAGCATATCTGGGCTTCCCTGTTTAACTCAGACAAGGAACCGAACCTCCAGATTCTACATGGAAGTCCAAAACATTGTTCAAGCACAGCAGAAAAGCAGGCCCAGCAAGCTACTCTTACTTCTGCCCTGGTTCCTTCACCTGCATGGCCCCAGTGCCCTCCGGGACAGGGAGGCCCAACCACACCCCTGCCCCGCCTGTCCTCTCGTTGGTTTCCTTCTATGAGCACAGGGATACGTGCCACGTTGCCACGCTCGGGCTGAAACCCCGTGCTAGGAATTTCAACGTTTCGCTTCTCCCGGGAACTGCCCACAGCAGAGAACTTCAGGGAAATCCCATCCCCCCCCCCCCGTTCCCCCCCCAAACGCCCGCAGGGCACTCGTACTTGAGGAAGATGGTGGAGTGATTGAGCAAACTTTCCAGAGCGGCCAGGTGCTCCGGCCACTTCCTCCTCTCCTCCACACGGAAGAAAAGGCCCCGGCACAGCTTCTTCAGCTCCACAAGCCTCTCCTTGAGTTCCTGCAGATTGGAGCAGAAAGGAAACATTTGCAACAGACGGGCGGGCGGCACAGGCATCCGCCAGCGGCAGTCCTACAGGAGGGCGATGGCCGCGAGGGCTAGGGAGGGAGGGAGGATCGGCTGGGTGCCAGGCTGCCGCTTGGGATAGCCGTGGCAGTCCAGCAGTCACTGGCTCCCACCTCCTGGCCCTGTCCGAAAAAACCTAAGCCCCCCCCCCCCCCCCCCCCCCCCGCCACCCGCGCCGCGGCAAGTTCCCAGGATGTGCCCTGTGCAGGACTTCAAGCACCATCATGGCCCAGCAGAAACGCTAGGTTGCTTGCTACACTAGGAGTCCCGGGAATCTCCAGCTAATAGATCCCAGTTCGAGAGTGCTGGGAAAGACCCACCCCCCTGGAGGGCAGAGTGGGCCAAATGGTGTCAATTGACATGACGAAGCCCCTCCCTCTGGGCTCCGGGGAAAGAGGCCTGAAGCACCTTAGTTGTGGCTGCAAAGCCCTCCTCTTCCATCCAGGCGGAGGCTTCACTGAGCTTCTGGAAGATTCCTTCCCTCTCTGTCTCAGATGAAACAAGCTGGTACTCCGCTTGGTAGAGTTTGTCCTGGAAAAAGACACAAAGAGTCCGTCCTCTGAAGGGCAGGCAGAGCGGGCTCCCAACCAAGGGTGCTGGCCCTTCCTGATCTCATGAGCCTGACCACAGAAAGCAAAGCAACCTCTGCTTCGCCCAGGGGAAGAGCAGCGGCATTCCGTGAAGGCTCCAAAAATCTACACAAAGGGGCCACGCACAGGGATACCCGGGGGGGGAATCTCCAGATTTGCAGGGAAAATCTGAAAATTGTAAAGAAAATTGTCTCTGTGCTCATCCCCCCCCCCACAGTAACAAGTGACATTTGCGCGTGTGCCGTGTGTCACCCCCACCCCCTAAACCCTGGCGGACATCCTGGTTTGCCCAAGATGCTGCTGAACAAAACTTTTAAAAAACTGGCTGGGAGGTAAGAAAAATGGCTGACCGGGGGTGGGTGGGATGGAGATAGAGCAGCATTACAGCGGGGGGGGGGGGATTTAAAATGGAAAACTGAGAGACTGGGTTTGAGCGGGGAAAGCCCCAACCGAAGGGGCAGAAGTGGGGCCAGCAGAGGGATCCCCCCCCCCGCAATCTTTTAACCTGAAGACCATCCCAGCCTCTGGCCCCCGCCTCCTCCTCCTACCTGGGTCTCGAAGATGAAGGCCTCCAGGCTGTTGGCTGACTGCTCCCGCTCCTGCTTCTCAAGGTCTCTGGCAGTCAAGTCCTGCAACCTAAGATGGGATGGCAAAAAGCACCCTGGTCTCAGAAGAGCAGCCGACCAAGAGCACCCCGGTGCCGTTCCGAGCACCCCCGCCTCAACTCACAGGCTGAAGGACGGCCTGGAGAATCACCCAAACCTACTTCTTGATGGAGTCCTGTAGTTCTTCCGGCAGAAGCTCAGGTATGTCGTTCACGTCTAGTTCCACCGTGATCTCTTCCACGAGCTTCTGTTTCTTTGGAGGCTTCA